ACTGGATTTGTATAGGCGTTGATGTCGGGAGGAGCATGGCATGGGTCTTTGATTCAATAGATAGGGAACCGGTGACATACAAAGACTTCATATCGATTCTCAAGACGTATACATATCGACAATCCTCATTAACTTATATGTTTGTATACATATTTATAACATTCACTTTTGGATACTAACAAGTTGTATTTGCTAAAATAATTCGAACAGGGTATTTAGGTTCTATGTCACTAAACATCACAGAAGGCATGATCCAGCAAGGAAGGAAAGGCTGGCTATAAAACTACTATGTGCGGTAAGTGTAACTTACTTCTTCAGTACTCCATTACATGGGTGTCAAAAGCATTACTTAACATTTCCATATGCAAAACACACAGTGCCCCAAGCAGAAGCCTGGGAGTGTACATTGTGGATACTATGTATGTTCTATGATGAGTAACACCGGTGCCTACAGGAGACACCACTTAAGGGTAAGTTTGAACCTCTTCACTCGTAGTATAAAAACTTCGCACATGGTAATACTAAATCGAAACTTGTTCTCTTGTAGTGGAAAGAAGAGAAAGAAATGAAAAGAGACCCATATAAGGATGACCAACTCTTAGAGCTCGTCGGCGACCTTTACAACTTCATATTGGACCAGATTGTACACGTCAAAGGCACCTACCATGACCGAGATTCTGACTTAGGTAGAAATCCTCAGTACAAACTCCTTCGTGAGACTGAAAGGCTAGCTCTAGGCCGTTGATAACAATGTGTATGAAATTTGACATTGGTCTTGTAATTGTAGTTTATATTGGTCTTGTATATATTCTTGTGAATTGTACTTCTAATTGTAGTTTATATAATACTCTTGGACTTGTACTTTGGAGCAAGGTACGTGTCGGCTAGCTGTGCTCTCTGTCGTGCCCTTCCCTGCCTTTTGCTTGCGCTTTCCTTTCCTCTCACGTCGCAGGTGCCGTATGCGTGGTCTCGATCAAGGGGGGGGGGGGCGAAGGAGATGCCAGCGTGATAGATTGATTGATTAGCCGATCTCGAATTATATATGCATATGCATATATATGTTCTGTAAATTTGAATTTGAATTGTAAATTTAAAATTTTTTTTGATAGAAAAATATACCGTAGGGACGGTTCTAAATTGAACCGCTCCTACAAATAGATATTATAGAGGCGACTGTTACTACAGCCACCCCTACCAAATGCATGATTTACAGAGACACTTGGGTGGAGAGCCTGGGTAAACCGTATTTACAAAGTCTGCATAGCCGCCCCAACCAAAAGTTGATGTAGTAGTGGGCGGCGCGGTGGGCCGAGCAACTAGCGCGGTCGATGTCAATCTCCGTACAACAAAAGCTGCCCGATGAGATGCTGCCCCGTTGAAAAGAATGGGTTATTTATTTCTCCACGTCACGTGTCAAAAAACTGGAAGTTAATTTTTTCAAAAAAAAAAAAAACTGTGAGTTGACAAGATGAAGATGCGGCCCCAACTTTAGCATCCTAACTCTCGTCGACGAAACCCGCTCCGTATTTGTTTTGATGTTCACAGGTGAAAATGTGCCTTTCCTAATTTGATTAGAGAATTACAGCCGTGACAACAAAAGCTGCTCAATTTATTAGGCCCCCTTGCAGATCATCTGTCATAGAATGGGGTAATAATAATTTAACCGTGTATAAAGAACCTTATAATCCACCTCCAACTTACTAATAAGATCATAGTTGAACCAGCAAATAATTCTTTGTTTATCAACCTACTACTATTAGTACATAACAATAAACAAAAAAGATGAGTACATAACCGCCATTAGATGGTACAGTATCCAAAAATTCTTTGCTTGATTCACTTACTTGGTCAACAAACCACTATCCCTATGTTTTTCAAGAGATGACGAATTATGAAATCCCCTGTCCAATCCTTTTGTAAGTTTGTGGATGGAATCCCTCAACATGGGTTAGAATGACAGAGGGTGTTCGGCTGGTAGATTTGTGCATTGTAGCTCAGCTGGTTTTGGATGATTGAATAGTATTTTATGAGAGAGAATAAGCTGAAATAAGCTGAAACAATTCGAGACCTTACCAGCCGAACACGCTGACAGTTCCCACTCCTTGTGCAGTACCAAATAAATGATTATTTAAATTGGGATTTTGGGCATAAAGATTTCACTGACCCGTTACAAGGGGATCCAACCCGTGAGGATAGGGTAATACATCTAAGAAATTATTCCATCAAATGTACTCCTCCTGGGTCCGAAAATAGCAACATGAACTAAATGTCCTATCAAGTCAAAGAACTTACTCCAAAAGATCCTGACAAATAATGACTCAGACGAGATTCGGTGTTTTTGAAAAGTCCGTAGACCCCGCGTGTGTTGCGAATTGTGCATCGCTAAGCATTCGCCGCCCGGCAACCAATCAATCCCCTGTGGTGTACTGGTGTGGGGGTGGCCCGGGTCGTTGGCCTATAAAATGATGATGATGCGGCCAGCCAGTAACTACCAGCACAGCGGAGAAGAGTCGCAGAGCAGAGGCCAGAGCGAACAAGCGACCGCGAGCTCGATCGACTGAGCTTTCGGGTTTCCATCTCCCATGGCGGGTGCGGGTCTTGTTCCGCAGGCCATTGTTCTCGCCCTCGGCGCCGGGGCGTTGGGCGGGTCCGACGCACTGCGCCTCCTGCTCCAGCTCGCGGGCCGGATCAGCCCCGCCGCGGACCTCGCCATCTGCGTCGCCATCATCAGCCTCCTCACCGCCCCGCTGCTCGGCACCATGCTGCTGGCACGCTTCGTCCTCAAGGCGCGCGCGGGCGCGGGCGGCGGCGCCGTGCCGGCGGCGACGGACCTCTTCGCCCAGGTGACCGCGATGGTCTCCGTCGGCGCCGCCTTCGTCGTGACCGCGTGCCTCCTCGTCGTGCCCGGCGGGGCGCCGTCCGCCTCCCGATCGACTTCGCCGTCGAGAACCCGGTCGTGGTCACCGTTCTCGCCATGTGCGCCGCCTTCGCCGCCGCCGCCGTGGCTCTGCGGGCCCGCCGCTTCTTCCGCGTGGCGGGTCGCAATCGTCACGGTCGCGGGCACCATGCTTCTTGTCCGGTGCTCACGCAGGGCGCGTAATACCGCCGGCGCCGGTGGTGGCGCCGCTGCCCGTACAAGCTGACGCCCGTGGCGTCGCCATCGTCGTTACCCTCTCCTGTCTCCTTGTCGGTATCGCGTAGTATAGTACTAGTAGAGATAGTTAACAAACTGTATAACAAAGATAGAGAGTGTGTGAAAAGAAAAGTGAAATAAAAAAGAACAGTAAAGAAGCATAAACATAAATAGCTACAGCCATCCAAGGCCTGTAACTATCAGATACTATTCAGGGTCCTCTCTTGCACTTGGGCTCTTTAGTATTACATCTTACTTATAAGATCATCTTTACACAGTTAATTATTTCACCTTTGCAATTCTCAGCCAATGGCGTTGATGAAATAATCTGGAAGAAGTGCTGGGTGGCTACCGTCAAGATTGTGGGAATATCCTGGCATTGCCATCTTAAAGGAGATTTTCACTACACTTTGAAATAATGAATATTAATTTGTAATAATTCAGATGATTGTTGTACTGAATACGGTTGTGCTGGTTATCATATCTGTGATTGTCGAGTCAGGGGTGATACTTCGAACTTGTGTGTGGCTATTATTAATGATTGAAACTTGTCTGTGCTTCTGCCACCATTTATTACTATCAAATAAGGGGATGTGTGTGGTGGATAATATGTTGCAATACTCTTCTGTCCGGTGCATGTACCAGATCATTGCTGATTTTACTAATCTTAGATGCTTGTATTTGGGTTCTGGTATATGCAAGTATCAAAATTTTGCCTTCTGGAATAGACTTTCTCATTTACAGATCTAAACTAGGAGCTTCCACCAGCAGAATTTGAAGAGTGCCATGAGAAAGCTAGAAGGCTATATATGCAGGTTATGGCTCTCTATATTCAAAGGCTTCAGTTCCTTTTTCCTGTTGTTGTTTCAGTTGACTCTAGTTTGTTGGGTTCCTGTTATAACGTTTATTTTCTTTTTTGTTATATACTTGTAAGGCAATTTTCCTGGCTTCTGGTCAGGTTGGTCTCTCGTATTATTTCTTATTTGATCTCAAAGTATTTGAATTATTGCTGATAATATGTTTACTTTTTCTGCTGTGTGCAGATAGCGATTGAGGCAATCTTGATCATATATCACAGCCCAGAAATACAACATGATCCTGTAAGTTTTGCCTTTTCAGACTCGAGCATTATTTCAGACTTCTCAAGGCATCTTGATCCTCGCCATGATTTATCACTCATGCATATTTTTATACTTCTTATAAGGAGTTAACTTTAGGCATGCCAAAGTGTGCCGGCAGCCTGCAGCTCTGAAGCAAGCATGTTCTGGTCCCATCTGTGGTCGATTCTTGCTATAAACCTTGTGTAGCTCTATCGCAATGCTTTGTGGCAAGTTCTGGTTGATCATCTCTTTATTTGATTAATGGTACTAGTGACATAATGGCACTATCTACAAATAAAGTCGTTGCCTTGTTGGGTTCCTATTAGTTTTTGTTTCCTTTTTCATACTTTTTTACGACTTTGGTTAATGTTCAAACTGGGGTTAATACATCCTCTCTCTAAAATATTCATGTTGCTGTCCTTCTCAACACACGTTTTTTTCATTAAAAGTTTCCTTTTACTCCTATTCCCCCCCTTCAACTAGCCTAGAATCCATATGTTGTAGCTATACAGTATTTTTATCTGTTTCATTCACACTTTTCTCTTCTCTACTAAACATTCAAAGCCCAATCTCATGATCTGGTGCAGTTCAGATAACTTATTTACAATGGTTTCTATTTTCTTTTAACAAAAATAAAATAATAGGGGTTTTCAGGTCTTCAGTAATCAATATTTATTGTATATATCCCACATCCTTGAGAAACACATCCATGCATGAGCTATAATGTATGGGAATAATTTTCGTCTCTGAAAATTATGCCTTCGTTTTCATTTTCCTTTGGGTTTAGCAGAAGCAGCATCACTATCCAAGAACACTACGAATAATGGTGAAAAAATATAGTACCCACGAGTATCGCTACAGTGGATAGTCAAGTCAACAACATTTTCGTACGCTGGACAAAGATTCTCCTTTGTGGATGATCTATAGCCTATCTGAATGATACTGTAGCCCAGGAATTCCATGTTGAGTTGTTGACCAATAAAACATATACTATAAATAAATTAACAAAGAGACAATAGCGGCAATCTCCTCTCTACTCTACTCTAAGAAAGGTGCGCTCAAAGAAAGGAATTAGGTATTCCTTTTTCTTTTTCTATCTCCCGATGATGATCTTTGTACCTTTTGAACAACGTTGTGGTTGCAGAAACTGAGATGATGATATAGATGAAGAAAATTCTCTGCATCCGCCACTGATTGCAAAGCCTGCTTTGGCCGAAGTGTGGTGTGCTGGTTACATAACTGTGCATTCTCACTGGTAAAAAAGAATTGTTTCTACTTTTCTAGCAATCAAATGGCTGGAAAAAATACAAGGGAAAATGGTATGCTCTTTCCTTATTTCATGGCCTTCTGATGTAAGGTCTTAGGTTATCGTGAGTCTGGACTATCCGGCTAGCAGAGAACTGGGTTAAGTTCCCTTCTTGTACTGTTAAGCTCTAAGCTTTCACAAGACTTGTAAATGGGAAGGCTGGAATGTTTTGTTCTATGATTCAAAAAAGAAAAGCATGTTTGAGTGGCCCACTGGAGTTAAGCGATGTGGTTCCTATGACTTTAAAATCACGGTAACTGGTTACTGGCATATGGGGTCCTTGCACTGTCAGGCCCATGTGTTAGCGACAAAGTCATGGTGCCCTTCAACGCCACGTGGACAACCAAGTGCCCAGGATTTCAGTATTTCACAGGAAGGGACATCCTAATTTTTTTTATAAGTATTATTTATTTTATTTATTCCAAGAAGCTTCTGCAGTCCGCAGTTCCTGAGCAATGCTTGGGACTAAAAGTTCGGCCAAACAGGATTAAATGTGGCTTGAAAAAAGGAAGAAGAAAAAGAGGTACTTGTCAATAAGAATACATTTCATATTATATAAGATATAAGTTGCCCGTGTTCATATACTTGAGAAGAAGGTGCTAATTAACCGATTACTAACAACACAGAACTACTCGGCCAGCTAGCAGCAGCCGCTACGCGGCCAGACAGCGAAATTGAAGTCCGAAGATGGCGAAGAACGCTTCTAGAAGCTGATCCAGCCTAGCCAGACATTGAATAAGTTAGGGTAGGGAAGAACGCTTCTAGAAATTGATCAAGCCGGCCCAGACAGTGAAATTCAGGTCCGGCCAAGGAATAACGCTCAGTCTTCTAGAGGCTGAACTAATATCACTCATCTTGTGTAAATTACTCCCCCTATTTCAAAATAGGTGCATATTTCACACTTCGACGAATCAACTAATATAATAAAGTTTAACTAGATTTATATAGCATTTGTATCTCTAAATAGGTTTATATTATAGAAATATATGACATGATTAATTGAATGGTGCAAATATTAACATTATAAATATGGATATTTTTATATATTGGTAAAATTTAAGATTGTTTGTACTTATTTTGAGACGTTGTGAGTAAATAGAGCATATACGGTACCTGAGATCTCTACAACTTTGCTCTGGTACTTGGCGCCTACCTTCCTCCTGGCTTTTGGTGCAGCCCTGAACATCAGTGAACAGTCATCTTCCATGTCCAGACAGTCCAGTACGTCTACATCACAAGTCCAACCGCCGAGACACGATCGGATCCTTTTCCTTTTTTTTCTTTTCTTCTTGTTGTGCCTGTCTAGTCCTCCAGGCTCCAGCCTTCCAGAATCCCCATGGAACCTTGGCTGCTCCTTCCCTATGCTCTGCGGTTGCATGCTCTGACGATTGATTGGTTGAGGCCATTGTAAACCAGCTAGAAGTGGAAGAAGCAAACACTGCAAGCTGCTCCTTACAAACTGCATGCACGCTCTAGCTTTGCTGTCCATTGCTCATGCTCTCCCGATGAGCTCCGCCGATCATAAACATAGATAGACATCAGCAGCCATGAAACCCGTTACCTCGCTAACCCATTTGTGGATATATGAGATCCTGGCTTACTTTGTAGCCAGTAACTTGTGCCTCACTTGGGAGCAAGGAAGCCAAGAAGCTCATCCGTAAGCTAAAATGTGACGGACCTCTCGAAGTTCGCCGAAATGTAGCAGCGGCAGCCGCTGCCCGCCTGCTGCAGACGGAGCGCCCCATATATATGGGGATCAGAGATGCCCAAAGTCTGCTTCGTGTAGGACATGTCACTTTCACGAATGGGGACGGAGACGGGAACGATAGGCTGGAATCGTCAAAAAAACAAGCAGATGGAGAGACTTTTTGGTGCCTCGACGAAGTTTCTTTCTTGGAGACTAAGGCTCGACTGTCGACGCCGGAAATTTCCATGAAGCTTCCGCGGGGCATTTTCTAGTCTCAAGGAAACTTCCTGGAAGCTGCCTGCGGGCGGAGCGGAGGATGGATGACAGTGACGCCGAACCAGGACGACCACCGGAGGGAACTCTTTCGCCGTGGACGAGGACGACGGTGGGTTTTCATCGAGGGCTTTGGGCTTTCGCTCCGCAGTGACGACCAACACCAACGTCTCGCAACTCCGGAGTCCCATCATGAAGGGACGGGAAAAAAATTGGTGGGCCGTGGGCCAATTCGATTGAGTCGTAGTGCTGTTCGGTGGAGCTTCAGCGAAGGACGAAAACAGAACGGAAATATCGTTTTCTATATTTAAACCGATCGAATATGTATTTTTTTTTGTCTGACTTTATCGTTTTCACTTTCGCATTTTAGATGTTTCGTATTTCAAATGTAAAAGTAGAAAACGGTTTAGACATTTTTGACCGTTTTCTACTTTTAATTTGAAATATTCCGAATTAAAAATTTAGTTTAAACCGAATTTAGTCAACTGCACAGGTCATACAACTCAATTACATGTTGTTCACCACGCAGCTGCATTCTTTCTACTGGTGGCCAGCTATCCTCTCTTATAGACGGCGTCCAGCCTCATCTCTGTTCACCTCACGAGATTGTGCTAAATGTCTGAAAACCAGCAGCATCTACACGAAAGCCCACCTGGACCATAGCCTATCAAGCTCATCGGTTTAACCCCCACCTGCAAAGTCAATCATTTGATAGTTTTTGCATCAGCCGAATAAATCTTTGTTACTCACAAGAAAAATCTGAATAAATCTTTAAAATAAAATACTATATTTATTCTAAAAAGATTAATAAAATTATTCTGACTCAGTTCGGGTTTATGTTTCTATAATATGCACTTGTTAATTATTATATGCACTTGAACTTGATCATGTATGCACTTAGTCATGCACTTGGTCTACGGGTCGGTATTCCGTATTGAATTTTCGTATATCGACCGTGTTTGATATAAATCCGCTCGAATTGGTTCGTTTTCGAAATTCTCGATAATTCATAAGTTCGCGTTCGTTTTCGTGTCCGATTTTACCGTTTTCGTTTTCGTTTTCATATTTCAAATATAAAAGTAGAAAACAATTTGGAAGTTTTTCGACCGTTTCGGACCGTTTTCATCCTTACGAATGACCACCACCACGTACATGTATGACCACCACCACGTACATGTGTGTACGGTCACGGCAGCAAGCAAAGGTTTCTTCTCTCTAGACTTGACGTCCAGGAGAATCGATCGTCGGAACACGAAGAGCATCATCCATGCGGCGGCGGCGCGGTGGGCCGAGCAACTAGCGCGGTCGATGTCAATCTCCGTACAACCAGTGCCGTCTCGTAATAGACAGCGCAAGCATTGATGGCGATCCATCAATTAGATTAGAAAAATCTATCTTCATATAAAACGCATGGTCGGTGTCAATCTTGCTGTCGTGTTCTTCCCGAGCTTTTTTTTCCCACTATGTTCATGCCCGTGAGTTGCTACGAGCCGGTTAAATTTTTATAATAAAAACACACAAATCGTCCGATAAAATAATAGTATCGTGAAATTAAATACCGACGTTAAAATGACATTTAATTCAAAAGGCAAAGTTCGTGAAATTAACAGTCACGGAGAGCGCGGCGTCGCAGACTCTACTTTATAGACTTTTCCGTGATGCGGCTAAAATAATATTTTATATCGACAGGAAGAAATCACTAATATTCTTTTTCTTTCGTGCGCAAATAAATCTACGAATAAGTTCCGCCGCATCTTCGTACCATCCTGAGGTTCAAGTATATATATATACACGTACTGTTCTGTAGCTGGCCGCAGAATAAATTATTCTGTGACCACTTTGAGTTATGATAATTACTATATTAATTTACGAGATTATGGTAACTCTCTCATAAGTGATTTACTATAGTATTACGGTAAGTATCATCTTGAATTATAGTAACCCATGTATCGTAAATGTGTATTGTCATTATCATAAATGAAGGTGGCTACAGAATAACTTATTTTATAGCTGGCTACTGAATATACATATACGATAGTTGGGTTACTATAATACATGGAGATATTTACCATAACGTTATAGTAAACCACTCAGTAAGGAGTTACTATAATCTCGTAAATTAGCATAGTAATTATCGTAACTCAAAGTGGCTACAGAATAAGTTATTTTGTAACCAGCTATAGGATAGTAGTTCTATATATATATATATTGTCACATGGGTAATACTGGCTGTCTTAAAAAATCTGTCACAAACCTTAAAACAATGTATGTTATACTCACCGTATAAATGTCACTTTACCGCAACCAATAGAGTATTTATGCCTTCAAAAGTATTCTGTTTTCAACTAATGTGATCTACGAAGCAAAGAGATCTAGTAGTATTCAAGAAAACGTGGATTTTTCTTGTATTCAAAAGAAACTCGTACTTTTCCACATATTAGTATCAATGTTTTAAAAAAAGGCATGCCAAATCATAACTGGGAGCTTATTTGCAGCAAAGTATTAGTGCCTACTGTCCACTAATTTCATTTTTTTCAAAGAAGAAAAATAAAAGGAATCCATCAAATGGTAAATGCTATGACAATATTGCCATGTTTGCCATAAGTAAAATTGATGATTAGCGGAAACATCTATCAAGAAGTTGAAAAAAAGGAAATACCACAGGATTTGGTCGACGCAGCTAGTACAATCTCAAGAAGAATTCCAGGTCATGCTACTCACTCTTTCTTGCCCTTGTCAACGTCTTCCTCCCCCTTGTCGAGCGCCATGCTCTTCTCCCCATCCCTTCCTCCTTCTTGCACCTCCCATGCGGCGAGTCCTCCCCAACACCAAAGCTTCCTCCTCCTCCGGCAGCACCGCCCGCCACCTCACTGGACGAGGAGGGCATGGACGATGTCGTGTTGGGCGTGACCAGCGCCCTGCTGCCCCTGCTGGGTGATAGTTAATAGTGTAAATAAAACAACCACAATATGTATCTTTAACACATTATGGCATGCCATACTCCATTTCATACTAATACTCTAACAATTAAATTCAACATTTTTGGAGTTTAGACGGCCCTAAATCTTCACAAATGTTTGGAAACTAGTTTCTGGTGGACATCAATTTGGTAGAAACAAATTTGTATAGTAGTCACTGACCAACTCTTGCTAATTCAAATTTCCATTGTCATTTCATATTAATTTCCCATGATATATATGCTTGCCTTATTAACAATAAGTTACTGTGAAAGCTTAGCATTAGCAGGGTGAGACGGACAATATATTTAATCAAGAGAGAGAGAGAGAGAGAGAGAATCATATAACTGACCCAATGAACTATTATGAGTTAATCGTTCATCATCTCTACTCCAGTTATCTACCTTGAGTCCTTGACTAAGTAAACTTGCATGATCAAAGCTTCACAAAACCCAGATGCAGTTGCCATCACAAGAAAACAGAAAATCACAATCGCCTCACCTGCCCCCAGCTATAGCCCACGGAGAGCATTTGGTGATCGATAGCCAGCATTCACCAATCCCCACTTGCTGTTCATTTGGACACCCACCTCTCATAATGCATTCCTGTCAATGGTAGTCTCTACTGCATTGCAACTTCGATCCACCTGTCAGGCTCCGGCGGTATCAAAGAGTAAAACAGGAAGGTATCTCATTTCTAAGGTTGACCAAAATTTTTTTATCTAACTTGATTCTGTAATTGGTTATTAATTCAGTTGGACTTTGGATCAAACCTATCCTGCTGGAGATCAACCTCGATGTACCTAGGTGTCCTCTGCTTTTTTTGCTGTCAAAAAGCAAGCATGAAAACAGAGAGAAAGGGCGAACCAATATGTACAAGCTTCTCACAGCCAAAGAAGCTGACAAGAGAACATGCCATTTTTTAAAGATAAACATGGGGAAACGACCGGTGTTTGCTACCATGAAGGCAAGTCTGCTTCACCACATCAGTTCATAGTTCCAAATTGGGGCTGCCGGGTCGTTCCGCACCAAGACAGCGTTTGCAGTGGCGGCGGCCCTCTTCTAGCTCACGGCCTTGGCCCTCTTCGTCGACACCTGTTAGAAATTGAGGTAATTTCAGTATTTATTTAATCCAGAAACAAATTAATAACACGTTTGTGGCCTTATATATGTGCACGTGTGGTCTAAGTGACATGGACATGTAGATTATACTAATAATCATGATTTTAATCGCTGAAGATAGGTACTGAACTAGAACATACCCAGCAGCACCAGAGCCAGTTGCGCTAGTCAACCTAGCGCCTGTTGGTGTAGTCATCCTGCTCGATGCAGTGCAAAGAGGCTGTAGTGCCGAACTCCCACTACCGTCACGAATGCCAGGAAGAAGATGAAGTCGTAGGTCATGGATCAATCGAGTAGTCGCGTGATCGCTCCCCAAAAACTTGATGGCCACCCTTCACCCGATCAGATGAACTCGTAGATGACTCGGTTTCGGAGGCCTGCTCTCTCTATTCCCATGCTCGCAGGAACCAGGATGGGGAAGCCTTGGATGCAGCAGAAGGAGTGGATGTGT